CTAGTTGTGACGTTTCACTGAAGTTGAAAGATCGTGTATATAGTGAAACCGGTCGTTTATTTCTGCTTTATGGTTGTGAGACATTGAATTTGCGCGCAGAAGATATCTGTCGACTAGAAGTTTTCGATTATCAGTGTTTACCTAGTTTAATCAATGTGGGATGAAGCGAATGGGTTAGTAATCTGGGGGTAATTCCTCGTGTGTTTAAGAATTTATCAGGGATAAACCTGCAAGCACACCGAAATCAGTTTAGTAGGCTTCGCTGGCTAGGGCACGTATTGCGTATACCCAGCTAACATCTACCACATCGCGCTTCATTCGATGTAGCTAATCCGAGCTGAAGGTCAACAAATGACGTGGAGACGAAGCATCATTAAATGCACATAGCCATTAGGTAGAGTAGGTGTCTCGCGCCTTCCAGGTTGGGGTCCGAAAGACCCCGCAACCGGTTGGTTGGAGCCATTGAAGGATATGGCAGCGAACCGGCAGCAGTGGCGATCTTGTAGTCCTTTCTTGTCATATCAGAATGCTTGAAACGGAATGTATGCAGAGTTCGATTGTGCACTCTCTGTGTGTTGAACATAGTGACTCTCTTTCTTCCCCCTCCATCAAAGCAGGTTCAACCTATGTCCACCTTAAATTGTACCACTAATCTTGTATGCATTGCGAGTTTGGCAGCGATCAGTGAAGTTCGCCTCACTGTATTTCGCAGTACGGCGATGATGAATGAGTATGCGTTTGCTCAATTTTGGTGCCTTCTCCTCCGGAAATCTATCTCCAGCATAAATAGCAAGAGTGTCCAAAACGAAAACAGCCGATTAGGAAAATACCAGGGGTAGCTTTAGGTCAGTTAATGGTTAGAACAATGTCATCGGCACACAAACTTCTACCATTCTGAATTGCCCGGATGGTGCATCGCTGCATAACTGATTTTGTTGTGACGATTTACTGCGATTGTCCAAGCGGCATATTATTCATAACTTAACTCCCTGTGGGGCTCCGACAATTGCACGATCGATCGGGTTTATTCATCGGTGGGTAGAATGGTTCAGTTGTAACAACGTATGTGATGATTGACCACCTAGTTGCGTCAATCGCGGAAAATGATCCCCTCAGATCACGAAGATGATCAGAGAGAACTTAACTGTTTTAGGTCACGGATGAAAGGGTCAGGATGATGTGAAACAATGGAGCAATTGCAGTGTATATTCTCAAGATGAATGGTCACTTGAGGTGGCATAATCAGAAACTGCTTAATCAATTCTTCTTTGTACACGATGTCAACTTCTGGGCTCCAAAAGAATGAGTCACACTTATATGTAGAAGCGGGTGAGATGGTAATGAAGAAGGAGGCAGTTGAGAGGTGACTGGGTAATTTCCTATGGATCTAGCTCAGGGTGATCATGATAGTGAGTGGGAAATCATTTGAATATTATCAAATTAATTGCCCCCTTGTTTGTTTGAAACATTCTTCCTGTTCCAGATGGATACTGTTTATCAACAAGTGACTGGTATGAAGGTGGAACATTGCTGCGAGGTAGTCAGCTATCAGAATGATACACTCGGGTTACTGGCGAACATCGAACTACCACAGAAAAACACCTCGTTTACGGATGACGTGACCAAAATTCACAATGCAGTGTTGAAATTAGGTCTCAAAATTGCAAGTGAGTTATGCAAGTATGCGAAAATCGATAAGGGTTATTTTTATTCAGTAGTCCTAGCGCGCTTTAGGGATTCTTGCAAAAAACCTCAAATCTCATCTAAGCAACCGACCTTTTCATGATGAGATTATATAAAAATGAATCAAGAACTCGTCAATTCCGAAGTTTAGTGAAAATATATAACTTTCTTATGAGATGAATTCTCGACTTCTGGACAGTCAAGTCAAGTCAAGGAATCGCTTTATACACCGAGAGTTGGGTATTTAGCAACCACATAACTACAGCGAAAAGTAGAAAAAAACAATATGATAGAACAATTGAAAGACGTGAAAACGGACAGCGACATGAGAAACCAATGGTATATATGGGTATTTGTGATTGATTTAGTTTAGCGTTCTGTGCAGATTGTCTGCAACGAGTTCATGGTTTGTTAGAAATCTGGTGAGATATGGGACAATAGAGCGCCTGCAAGCTTCATTTCGTGTCCTTATCAGTTTGTGAGTAGAATGGGTGGATGAATGAGAAAGGTACTGAGCAAGGGCGGAATAAAGGGGATGGGAAATATGAGATAAAATCTTGTTGTCGAATATGTTACACGACTTGAGGTGGTGTGATCACATACTTTTTTGTGGTATGAGACCATAAACCGACAGAAACGTGACGAGTCGGGAAATGAGTTTGAGGTCCTTGTTAAAAAGACCAGGGAAGACAACAAGGGACCCATAGAGTCAATGGGGCAAAACGCAAGCAAAAACAAAACGCCTTATGAGATGGTTTTGGATAGAAAGTGATTTAAGACGTAACACACAACGTGAGCCTTCTGACCTTCATAAAAACGTCATCAACGTGGTCAGACCAGGTGAGGTTACGGTCGAAAATCACGCCAAGGCATTTGACAGATGGTTGTCGTTCCATCTGATCACTGAGGATAGATAAAGGCGGACTGGCATTTGATAGGCCATCATAAATTTTCCCTTTCAAAAGGGGGAAAATAACGTCATTACATTTTGGGGGTTTATGCGGAGGTTCTTTTGTTGAGACCATTCAACTATTTCTGATACGTCTTCTTGTGGAGTGTTTGAAATGATGAGTTGGGGTAGGGCAGTCCGAATATTATATCGTCTGCATACTCAAGAAGAAGAGAAGAATTGCTCACAGGCATAGAGGAATTGTAAGCAGAAAAAAGAAAAGGGGATAAAATAGCTCATTGCAGTACGCCTTTTGAGGAGGGCAGCAGTGAAGATGTACGAACTTTGGCGCGTGTAAACTGCTGACGGTTGGAGAAATCGTTGGCCAAGTGTTCAATCGTAGAAGGTTGAACTCAGCCCAAAGAGAGAGTATTCAGCAAAGTGTTTAAGTCAATTGTGTTGAAACCATCACTGTAGTCGAGAAAATATATGCGTACAGCCTTGCTTCTCTTATCCAGGTTGGATAAAACAAACTGGGACGGATAAGCAAGGGTATCCAGGGTACCGCGGGAATGGATGTATGCAAACTGGTTCGGGTCACCGATATTGAACTGTGTGGATAGTCTTAATGCGGAGCCTCTCCAACACCTCCAAGACAACTGGGATGCAGGACGGAATTTTGAGGATCCTTTATTCGGTACAGGGGTGATAGAGGCTATTCTCCAGCAGTCGGGTATACGTTGCTGCAAAATGCAATCATTTAAAGTTTACTCAGTACAGGGGAAAGGAGGCCAGCACATTTTTTTAGAACAGCAGGTGAGACTCCGTCGGGGCCGCATGACTTGTGAGGATTTAATTGAACTAACTCTTGATAAATATCGACTGGTGCAACGCTGGAGACGGGATCAGTCATGTTCACTTCAGATCTATTAGGTAGAGAGCGGTTCCACTGTTGATGAAACTGATTCAGACCATCTATGCCTACAGCAGCAGGTGCACGATGTGAGGATTTGATGCCAGAAATTCGCATTACGGATTGCCAGACCTTACGACTACCTTTGTTGTCAAGCTGAGCACGGGCGTATAAAGAGTTTAGCAAAAGTTTAGGCAACTTGATAGGTGATCACAGAAAACGGAAGGGTCGGGATCAGAAAACAAACTAAGTTCAGAGTGCCTGATCATTTTCTTTAACCTCTTGGGATTTTCTGGAGAACGCTGTCTTACTTGAAGCAAATGATTACCACTTCGAGTAAAGAGACGATGGTTTGTTCTGTTAAAGATGGTAGGGGAAAAAATTAACATAGAATGCTCGGACATTCCCAGAGTGAGGGGGCGGCGTTCTACAAGAAGTAAATTCTGAAGGTTGATAATTGTAAGGCTTGTGGGGATAAATGCCTAAAAATATTTAGTAACAACGCAACTCAAAAGTGATAGCACCAAAAATGTTAACACAGTTTGATGGGGTTTGCGGTATCTAATGTTCCAAAAATGCAACAGTGTCACTTCTCATTGCCTGAATTGAATAATTAAACCATTCAACCAAGTGGAAATGCACTTTTGCCATTCGTGCATCGAAATGTACGTCCACCTCGGTAACCAGATAACTCACGCAGGTACATAATATATCCGTAATCATGCATCCGATTGTTTGCTAATAAAGTCCATTCTTTCATATGCGCAATACATGCGCCAACTTCAGACTGTCCTTAAACAAACTTCATGTGTAAACAAATCAACATGGCTTCAAGGTCAAAATTTCAAACAAATAGGCCTAAAAATAACGATCGTATATCAAACAAAATCCACACTGAAGGTTATTAAAGCTTTCCAAAAATTATAAAAATCCTCAAATTAAAAAAAAACACATTGGTGAACTTAGGGTAGGTGGTTTCCTGAGGACTTTATACATTAAAGATGAATCTTGAGCGATAACTGGTCGAAATCAAAGACTGCAGTAGGCTAAATTCATCAGTTCAATATCGAAAACTTAGTGTTGATCAGAAATCCAATGATCCATGTATGTTAGCCCTGTTTATTTCTGTTAAAGCTCATTGATGGTGTAATCAGTGCATGATTGTTCAACAATCCGTATCTCCTGCAATATTCCATACCACTACTAAAGACATGAGTAATTCACTAAAGCGTATCAGCCAGATCATATTGTGATGGAAGTTGGTGCAAAGAGAGCCCCGGCTAGTGAATGAATTAAGAATCGAGAAGAATGCGGAATAAGAGGCGATATACGTGTCAAGTGCAGACGAAAACCAACAATAGAAAGAGGCATGAATCATCCTGCCGCACGATTAAAAATTAAATGTATATAATTGAACGCGTACACCGGCCGTTTTTGAATTGGATCAATAAACATTTTGCCAACCGGCTCACCTTCTCGTTACATTGGTGCCGTCGCCCAAGTCAGAACAACGCAATGAAGGTACCTTGGCCGAACGCATTCGCAGACGATGTAGAGAAGTGGATTCGCGATTTTGAATTAATCGGACCATGCAACGGCATCAAAGAGAGTGCGCATCTGGGCACAGCTTTGTGTGCACTGCTTTCCGGACGAGCGAGGGCTGCCTACGATTTGAATTCGGAAAGCAACCAAGCCCTCGATTATGAGAATTTGAAAGCCGCGTTGGTGGCAAAGTTTTCAAAGGATGGTGACCGCAAGAAGGCAATGAACCGGTTTTACGCTGCGGAGTACAATCAGACTGAGGACCCGCTGATGCACTACCAACACATAAAGCGACAAGTTTCTCTGGGCCTACCGGAGGAAAACAATGAAACACGGGAGAGGCTTGCCAAAGATCGGTTCATACAAAGCATGCCGGCACGGATGAGAGACAAACAGGCTTGCGGTGGCATGCGGGGTGAATGATACAGACGGCCTAATTTCGATTGCGCAAGCCTGTCAACAAGATGACGTAGATGCTCGGGTGGATCCTGCCGAAACTGAAGGTAAGGTTGAACAAATATTTGAGGAAATTAGAAGACTGAAGGAGGAACTCAGGGGTGGAGCACAAGAAAAAAGACGTTTCAGGGCTCAAGTTCGACCAAAGCGGTCTTTCAGTTGCCAGCCCCCTGCTCACAGACGCCGAAAGGAAGCACTCAACCACTGAAAAAGGAGAACCCGGCGATTGTATGAGCTTTGGAGAAACGGAGCATGTATTTGACTGCGAACACCTTCCACATCAAGACAGACCACAAACCCTTGATGTGGTTGATGACGGCGCGCCACCCGAGAGGAAGACTGGCGCGATGGGGTTATCGTCTTCAGGAATTTACGTTTACCATTGAACATGTTGACGGCAAGACAACGGGATTCCTGACTTCCTGTCGCGTCCGATCAACGATAAAGGTGTTCCACCGGAGGCTATTCCAGTTTCCCAGCTGGTTTCGAGCGATGTGGAAATTAATAAATATCAGAAAAAAGACCACCTGGTGCGAACCACGTGTGAGCATCTGCGGTCAAAAACGAAGCTGGAAGAAACGTCACCAGAAACAGGAGAATTACTGAAGATCTGGCATCGCCTGCATTTGAACAATGAGAGCTTGATGGTTAAAGTGGACATGGAACACGGACTGAGACCTAGGCGACTGCCATTCATCCCAGCCGGTCTTCTCGAAACGGTGTTGAAGCTTGCACACGATGGAGCACACATGGGAAGGCAACGAGTTCTCGATTCATTTCGACGTCGTGTGTTCTGGCCAATAATGCGTCGGGATGTAATTTAATACATCCGTTCTTGTCCCGAGTGCCAACATAATAAATATACGACGCCATTAACACCGCCAATGCAACCAATAGACACCCAGAGAATACTTCAAACCTGGGGACTGGATGTGTTTGGACCTCTACCTATTAATCCAAGTGGGAACAAGTACATTGTTGCGATGGTCGAACTCGTGTCTCGTTGGGTGGACGCGGTACCAACGTCAGATCAGACAGGAGAAACGGTTGCTCGGATATTTATAGACAACGTGGTTGCACGATTCGGCATCCCGGGAAGTGTCATTACGGACCAGGGACCGCGTTTGGAATCCAAGATTTTTCGGGAGATCTTAGACCGCTGAGGCATCAAACGAACAAGAACGTCCCCTTACTATCCTCAGGCCAACGGAATGACTGAACAGTTTAACAGAAAAATGAAGGAATGGCTGAATAACTATTGCGGTGATTGGGAAGAAGGCCTATCGGAAATCCTACTGAACTACAGAATTGCATCTCATTCCACAACGGAGATACCACCCTACGAAATCATATACGGTAGAGAACCCAGAACTCCTCTGGATGCGTTTCTCGGAAGATCTGGCAAACAACTTTCCACGAAGGAGCGAGACAAGCTGGAGAGAGAAGCGGTTGAGAAAACCAGGCAAACCCAGCAGCGCAACAAGGCAAGGTACGACAAAGTACACCGATCACAAAAGTGGCAGCCATTCGTACTGGGACAGCTAGTAAAAGTTAAGAATTAAGGCAGACCCGAAACGACAAGATCGGGGGTAGGAAAGTTCAAGCAGAGGTGGATGGGGTCATTCACTATCCTGGAGAGGAAGAACGCCAGTTTTTTTATCAACCAGGGTCCTCAAGGGAAATGGGTAAATGGTAAAGAATTGGAGTGGTGGTACACCCGCGGCAGTTATTTTAAAATAGAGCAAGTATGATGAAAGTTGGTACAAAGAGTGCCCCGGCTAGCGAATGAATCAATAATGGAGCCCATCCAACCAGAGGCGCAGACGTGGCGGCTGTAAGTACTTCGTGAGACAATGTTGACCACCACCAGAAACGAACGAATCGATAGTTACAGCCCGACAGACAATCCGCAGCTAGCCAGAAAGATATCCACCGAATGCCACAACGTCGGAGCTGTCGATCAACATATCTCGCGCCACGATCAAGCCAAACTAGTTGGAACGGCATAAGAAAGAAGAGGCGACGTATGTGTCAAGTGCGGACGAAAACCAACAGGGATTGATCAACGGAAAGAGGCATGAATCATCCTGCCGCGCGGTTAAGAATTGAATGTATATAATTGAACGCGTACACCGGTCGTTTTTGAATTGGATCAATAAACGTTTTGCCAGCCAACTCGCCTTCTCGCTACAATATCACACAAACCGTGCAATTCATTGAATTTCACATCGGTAGCCTTTTGTATTGTGGGCTTACTAAACCATGTCGGATGTGCGTGACGCAATAGCTGCTGATAAGTAACTGTTATACATAGCTAAGATCATCCCATCCGAATGCGATCGTTAGATAACACTTATATGATGCATTCGTCGTGTAAATGAGATGTGAGCTGAAAAACCGGGGAGCACTGGACGGCTGATTTTACCTGTTTGGGTCTTCATCGCCGATGTGAATCCATCGGCCCAACTGTGAATCGAACCCAGGACTTCACAGGTAGAACGCAAACATACTACCGGGCAGCTGATCAGACCGTTTCCGATTTGGAATATTCACTCATCTATGCGAGCTTGTTGCAAGTATCGGTCCTCGCTCATCTCAGCACTAGCTTCCAGTCCCATCGAAGGGGTAGAACATTACTTAAGAGTTTGGTTTGTTAGCCATTCCTTACAATCGAGCAGCTCGTTAGTTCGATGGAGCAAAATACGTCGTTGTGTGAGAATTTTACAACATTATAATAATGATAACAATTGATCAGGCCCTTATCCGAGTGCATTGAAGAGCATCACATTGGTTGATTCTATCAGAAAATGACTGGGGTCACAGGTAGCTGTATCCGCATTCAAACGAACACTTCAATAATTATAAAGGGCCAGTACAAACGCACCGACCATTATAGACTGACTGACATACTGTCCTTCGTCCAATGTGCTTATGTCTTTTTCTCTGCTCTAAAACGCGACGGGCAATAGTACGAGAATCGGAATAGTACTGAATGCTCAAAACTGGATTGACTCTAACCCGAACTGCGGCCACCAATGAAATAAACGAGGAATTGATAGCAGCAAATGTTTATCTTTATTGATAGAATTATATCGTGTTTTATAGAAGATAATAGGCCATATGATTGGTTGAATGACCGTCCTCCAATCATGTAACCGTTTGCACCGACGCATAATATGTACTGAATCGGAAGTCATGTTCGCCCGGTGTACCATCGATCGAGCTTCGTGAACGGTGATTGGATGACATGAAGCTGTACCTGGTCGTGACTGGATTGTGGTCACGTAAGTCTGGATCACCACAAATAATTATCAGATCATTACAATATGGGTGTCGTTTAGGGTCAGTCGAATCAATCAATATCAATTATCCCACTCACCCTTCTCATAAGTAACTGTGAGTTGAATACGAACATCAAACAAGCCTTGGAGTTATTTGGAAAGTCAGTCCGTAACCTGCATGGAAGTCCTGACTTGGTGGGAGGCTTTCGATTGGAGTTAAAAGGCTGTACCTGTGTCTTCCTTCGTTGCCGTCGGGCCAAATGAACTGACTGACTATCACTGAAGTCAACAATTGAACAAACATGAATTGGCAATTTGACTCAGCCATGGCATGAGCTGGTTGGTACAGTGGTAACATACACGCCTTCTATGCGATGGGTTCGGAGTTTGAATACCGGACGGGACGGTGAATATGTACTACGGATGAGCTCTAATAAGAGCGAAACTCGAGTCTAGTGCTTCCGAGTGTATGGTTGAATCGAAGAACACAGGATTGTGCATATAAGTGAAGTCCGAAGGATGGCCAGTCAAATCAACCAATAACGTCAGTTTGTCAGAGGTGCGTCACGTGGAGAGATCATCTTGCAGGCACTCAGTCACCTGACATACTTGGACCACGGCAATCGCTCCTTTTGGATTGGCAATGCTCGATTTCGATTAAGCAACTCCTGCGTTGAAACGGAACTGTTAGAGGGGAAACCAAATCCCTATACAAATGAGCACCATGGTTTGCAATGTAAACGACAGTTCTGATGTTGGCGAGAGCAGGAGCCGGGAACGCAATGCGTATGCTGGGTTTTGCCCCGAACTCCTTGCTTTGATCCATCACGTCTGCCCACTATATATGAATGCTAGGAATCGAGGTTTTACGCGATAATCATATGTCTTCCATCAGAGGATTTCAAATTGAAAAGTTGACGGAAAATGTGAAATGGATGTTATTTTTCTTCACCAAAACTCACTAATTTTTGTTTCTATTCCGTTTGAAATTGTTCACTCGAGATAATGAGCGGGGATCCATCTTTGGTGTATAATGACCAGAATAACGAAAATATGGATGAGTTTTCGCGTTGGTGAACGATAACCAGAACAGAAATACTGTCCCTTCTTCTGACATTTCACACGAGCCATAAAAGTGCAATCTGTTTGACAAACTCCGTCGCACAACCTGGGTGATTGATTCAACAGTGCAAAGGGAGATGAGAAAATGCTCATTTCAATAGCCTACTAGAGGGAGAGAGTAAAGGCAACTCACATTCAATTTAAATAGTATCAAATGCAGCCTCAAGCTAAATTCTCACTAATCATTACATTAAAGAGGTATTTCTTCTATAATTTATCGTTCTCCTCACCTTATTCTACCTCATTCCGGACCACTCTCTTCCTCATGTTCTCTGTGTGAATTCCAATGCGCGCACGCAAACAGAAAGCAACAAAGTTGGTGAGTTGTTTGATTTACTCCAGTTCTGGTTTGATCGATAACCAATGTTGTATTGTATTGTGTACATCAGAGGTGAACAACAGAATGAATAGACAATCAGAAAACTAGTCTGAGAACAATTATTGCCGTCATCGGTAATTTATAACCAGTCTATCACAAATCAAATGTGTGATGAATTGATGTTCACAAACTCAGTAATGAATGGTTCACAGAAGCCGGACGGGTTCGTCAGCACCCACCAGTCT